GCAGCTTCAACATCTCTCGGCCAACTCAATTTAAAAAAAAAAAAAGAAGAATAGCCTAATCCTCTATATCGCATATGTGTTTCATACTTATAGGAATTGCTTCTATAACCGATATGGGACTCAATGGAGCTATTTCACAAATAATCTCTCATGGGTTTATTGGTGTTGCACTTTTTTTCTTGACAGGAACGAGTTATGATAGAATACGTCTTGTTTTTCTCGACCAAATGGGCGGAGTAGCTATCCCCATGCCAAAAATATTTACGATGTTCAGTAGTTTTCCATGGCTTCGCTTGCATTACCGGGGATGAGTGGTTCTGTTGCAGAAATTATAGTCTTTTTAGCAATAATTACCTGCCAAAAATATCTTTTAATGCCTAAAATTTCCATCACTTTTGTAATGGCAATTGGAATGATATTAACTCCTATTTATTCATTATCTATGTTACGTCAAATGTTTTATGGATATAAGTTATTTAAAACTCCAAACTCTTATGTTTTTTATCCTGTATCGTGCGAGTTATTTGTTTCGATCTCCATTTTTCTACATGTAATAGATATTGGTATATATCCGGATTTTGTGCTTTCACTATCCATATCGATTTCTAAAAAAGATTACTAATGGAATGATATTAACTCCATTAGTAATCTTTTTTAGAAATCAATATGGGACCTCACCACCCATTAATGCACGTTGTTCTTCGACTCATTGTTACTCTATATGGTGAAGATGTTATTGACTGTGAACCAATATTGGGTTATTTACACACAGATATGGAAAAAATTGCAGAAAATCGAACAATTATATAATATTTGCCTTATGTGACACGTTGGGATTATTTAGCTACTATGTTCACAGAAGCAATAACTGTAAATGTACCAAAGTAATTACGCAATATTCAAGTCCCTAAAAGGGCCGGTTATATCAGAGTCATTATGTTAGAGTTAAGTCGTATAGCTTCGCATTTGTTTTGTCTTGGCCCTTTTATGGCAGATATTGGGGCACAGACTCCTTTCTTATATATTTTTCGAGAAAGAGAATTGATATACGACATATTCGAAGCTAGCACTGGTATGCGAATGATGCATAATTTTTTTCGTATTGGTGGAATCGCTACTTATTTACCTCATGGGTGGATAGATAAATGTTTGGATTTTTGCGATTATTTTTTAACAGGAATTGCTGAATATCATAAGCTTATTACACGGAATCCCATTTTTTAGAACGAGTTGAAGGAGTAGGCATTATTGGTGGAGAGGAAGCAATAAATTGAGGTGTGTCGGGACCCATGCTATAAGCTACTAGAATACAATGGGATCTCCGTAACCATACTCCATTTTGGTGTATGCATGTTAAATTAATTACAGCCTGCTCGATTTATATATCTTTTTTTTGAATGGCCATGTTATTTTTAAAACTAACAATGAGATAGAAAATGAAAAACAATTACAAAGCATTTATACTTAACATTGAATTTTGAAACCTCACAATGACATTAATTTTAGCATTTATATAAACCGCCCATTAAAAACAATCTTATCAAACTTGTGCTGCTTTGATGATAGTAAGACATGAATTTGATGTGTTATTCACTAAACACCAAAACCACTAACATCTTCTATACATAAGACAACATTTATATACCAAATTAGCAACAACATGAACCTCCAATATGAAAATCTAACCAAAGCCTATTTCTTCATGTCTGGAATGTTGAAGGAATAGCAATAAACTTTGAAGAACATCCACCAAATAGCAATGCTTATTACAAAATTAATCTAGAGGTGGGAAAACCAGACTTTTCTTATCCAGTTCAATTTATCTTGTAAGCAAACAAACTGGTTTGGTCTAGAATCGAATAGGCTAAACCGATTTTGGTATAAAATTTTCGAACCTATCTAACCCTTTTATAATCAGACTAAAGGTGGTTTGAAAAACAACACTTTTGCCGAATTTTGTCAAAATTGATTGGTTTCAAAATATACTGCAATTCGTATGGTTATCCAAAATTGGCCATTTGGACCGTTTAGGGGGTCAAAACATTGTTTTATGACTATTAACTTCAAAAAAATCATGCATTAGCCTCCAATACACATATAACAACAATTTAAAATTGAATATGTGATATCAAAACGACATTCTTCTACTATATTCAAGAAACCAATTTCATCGAACTAGTCCTAAACCAGTTTCAAGTTATATATTCTGAAACTTATATATTCCTGAATCGGTACAACCCGGTCGAATCAGACCAAAGCAATTCGGTTTTGGCAAACCTATACATAAACTAGTTTCGGCTCGGTTAATTGTGTTTTTCTAATGTGCACCTCTAAGAGGCCCATTAGTAAAAACTGAAATTGGGTGATACCCAACTATAATTAAATAAGGTCCACTCAAAGTATCAAACCCGAAACTTGAGCAACTAGTCTAAAGGTACACAAAAAGAATCCAATTTTTTTCATTCCTTTATTCGCACTTTATGTCGCTAACTCGTGAGGAGCTTTGTTCAAGAGGAAATACTCGCTCTTATCGAAATTTACCTTTTGGCAATTACAATAAGCTTCTTACTTGTTTCTAGAAATATCTGAAAGATTATCCAATCCAGATTTTTTAAAATCCAATTCTAAAATATCTTAATCAAATGGGTTAATGACCTAGAAAGGTAACGAACTTTGTCGTTATCCACATTTAGGTAATCATGTTTTTTTTCGTTCACATTTGACCATTGAAATTGTTTGACTTATTCAAATTAGGGTAATATGATTAGTAATTACAGTAATATTACCCTATTATGAATAAGTCAAATAAGTTTATTGGTCAAATGTGTACGAAAAAAAACATGGTTACCTAAATATGAGCAAAAACCAAAGTTTCTTACCCGTTTTGGTAATATTGGACAAGAACCGTTTTAGGGACTGTGCCCTGGGATTAGGCTTCAACAGTCAATGAACAATTATGTTAGACTTGGTCTAACCCAATTCAGTCTCGACTAGTCATGGGCTAGGCTGTGTTGCTAGGTCTTTAAAACACAAACAACCTAACCCCTTAAGTGTATATAACCTAACCCCTAAGTAGCTGGACCTAAACTGGGTTGGCCCAAGACTTGACCATCTCCTCATACACAAAGACCGGACAACCAGACTAGTTGCACTTAACGTAAAGAATCCAATATTACCAAAATGGGTAAGGAACTTTGGTTTTTGTCCATATTTAGGTAACCATGTTTTTTTCGTACACATTTAACCAGTAAACTTGTTTGACCTGTTCATAATAGGGTAATGTTACAGCTAATTACCAGTCATATTACCTTATTTTGAATAGATCAAACAAGTTCAATGGTCAAATGTGTACGAAAAAAACATAATTACCTTAATGTGAACAAAAACCAAAGTTTCTTACCTTTCTAGTTCATTAACCCTAATCAAATATATCATATCCGGTGGATATGAGCATGTTATGCAAAAATTTGGGCATGGGATATTTACCACATATTTTTATCTCGGTTTTGAAAATTCGATCCAAAATCCGATAAATTTCAACCCATTATCCATGATAAATTTGGTTCCGATTAAACCGAAGCGCCAACCCAGATTTTCAAAAGAAATCCAGTTTCAGATAAATCTAATTTTTATGCATCTTACCTAGGCTACATATCTGTGATCTTCTGGATTGGACCAATTTTATTTGCTTGCTTTTAGATCAGACAGCTTAGTGGATCATATTTTTAAGTACTATTAAAAATTTACAGTTTACAGTTTACATGCGTTTAACGAGCTCATTGCTTTAACAAGTAATTAGTGAAGGGATTTTCTACCCACATACTTCTAATTTTATTTTCACCTCCTATCTTATATTAAAAAAATAAATATATTGTTTCTCACCTATCATTTTTTTTGTTAACAAGGGTATATACAAAAGGTATGTCAAGAACTCAAAGGACTGGTATTACGCCATTGATCTATTGAAATCTGTTACCTTTTCATAGTTTTCACAAATATGCTTACCTTAAACTTTCAAAACAAAATGTAGGTGTTTTGTTAAAGATAAAAAGTGAATCAATACATAATAAAAAGGGTGCTGCTACTAAGACACCCCTTAGACACCCTCTCATCATTTTTATAAAAAGTCAGCCTATAATAAACTCCTTGTAATCAGTTTTTTCGGAAAACAATGCAATTTCAACCAATAAAAATATTTCAAAATTAATTAGGGTTGTCTAAATGGTAAAAAATGGTGTCTTTTTAGCCAACCCTAATAAAAATCGGGCTTAACTAAAAAGACACTCCAATTTTCTATTTAGATACCCTATTTGATTTTTAATGTTTTTTTATTGGTTGAATGTATATTGTTTTTTGAAAAAGAAAATTGTGAATAGTCCACATCTTAAAGTAACCAAGATTAAACAATAATTGAGATATGAATGTGGAGAGAGAAAGAGATACCATAGATGGTTTTACCATGGGATTTATTTCTTGGTGTTCGTCAAAGCATCTTGAAAATGAGTGGTGTACAATAACAGTAACTAATATAAAGATGTCACAAGTTGTATGTCGACAGTCGACTCCTTGTCTTATAACATTATTCAAAAGATATTTTTTTATTTTTTATAACATAAACTGTTTAATATTCATATACATATATGTGTATATGAAATAATTTTTGCTACTTGCAGCACTAAAATATGATAAATATGCATGTTATATTTATCGATTAATGCCCAAAAGAAACATGTGATCTTTAGAAGGAAAAAAAATAAGACAAAGCTTTATAGACTTGTTATAAAACTAACTTTTAATATTTTTTATCTAAATTCATCCAACTCATTTAAAAAATGTTTAATAACACAATATAGATAGAATACCTGATAAATATAAAATTCTCATACTATTTATATTTTATATAAAGAAAAAGCTCTAGCTAAATTTCTAAAAAAAAGAAATATATACTTGATTTTTTTTTTCTTATTGTAATAATTCAAATAAAATATTAAGAATATTTGACGTTTCATTCAAAATAAGTCGTCGCCTACAATCCTACACTCTATTTACGGCAACCAGGAACTCTCTGCTCGCCGGAAATATTCGCCCATCGTTATTCTTGATTTTTGACTTTCTTAATTTTCCCCCGAAGTCTACTTTTGAGGTATATATCTTCTACTTCCTCGTGGAATCTATCAGTTTGACAGTTTCTATCAATGATTTTTTTTTAAAGGGGCGAATTAACATATGAGCTACAATGGAGCAACCTGATGTTGATGATATAATCCATAGGCTGCTTGAAGTTAGAGGGAAACCTACAAAGCAGTTTCAGCTCACTGAATCGGAAATCAAGCAACTCTGCGTCGTTTCTAGAGAAATATTCTTGCAACAACCTAATCTGTTGGAACTTGAAGCACCCATTAAAATCTGTGGTATTAATCCTTATGTATTGATTGTTTTTCATGTTTTTCTTTCGAATCTTGATTACTTGTTTACTTTCCCCATTAATATGCCTTGTGAAGAAGATCCATTTAGAAAACACAAAATTGGGGAAAGTTGTGGATTATGAAAGCGGAAAACTCGATTTATCAATTAAAAAAGATGAAACCTTTTTGACGAATAATTTACCGATGCTTATCAGGTGATATTCATGGTCAATACGCCGATCTTCTTCGTCTTTTTGAGCACGATGGATTACCACCTGAAGTCGACTACTTATTTCTTGGTGATTATGTTGACAGAGGCAAACAAAGCCTTGAAACAATATGCCTTCTTCTCGCCTACAAAATTAAATACCCAAATAACATCTTCCTTTTGCGTGGAAACCATGAGTGTGCTTCGATAAACCGTATATACGGCTTCTATGATGAATGTAAAAGAAGATTTAATGTGAAGTTATGGAAGATCTTTGCAGATTGTTTCAATTGCTTACCTGTGGCTGCTCTCATTAGTGAAAAGATTCTGTGTATGCATGGAGGTCTATCACCCGACCTCAATAACTTTGATCAAATCAGAGAGTTGACTCGTCCTGCTGACATACCTGATTCTGGTCTGCTTTGTGATCTTCTATGGTCAGATCCACATAAAGATGTCAAAGGGTGGGCCATGAATGATCGAGGGATTTCATACACTTTTGGTGCTGATGTTGTGACGGAATTTCTACTGAAACATGATCTTGATCTTGTTTGTCGCGCTCACCAGGTTTCCAATCTTTCACCAAATTTTGAAATGATGATATGAAAGATGAAAGATGTTAAAGTGTGCTTGTTGTTGCAGGTTGTAGAAGATGGGTATGAGTTCTTTGCATACAGACAACTTGTAACGGTGTTTTCTGCACCAAATTATTGTGGGGAATTTGACAATGCTGGTGCTTTTATCAGTGTTGATGAGACTCTAGAGTGTTCCTTTCGAATACTAAAACCCGCAGAAAAGAAAAGGTCCAAATCTATGATGAATCTTTTTGGGAGCTCCACCAGCGGCTAAACCGCTCATTTTTACCCATCAACAGTCGGTGATGCTTGTTTCTGATTCACTCTTAGAAATGTAATGTTTTGGGGGTTTTGTGAATATGATTGACACCATGAAGTTGGTTTGTAATCGATTTTTTAGATCAAAATAGGTGCATAAGGAAAATAGGGAGTTCTAAATCTCATGATTATTTCATGTTTCAGCTTCCCATTTGAGATGGGCCTTGGTGTTCTTCATTGCTTACTTATCCGTTGCTTCTTAGGGCATGAAGCCTTTGAAGTGATTTTGTTTTTATTTTTTACTGATTTGGTTTTCTTTATAATTAACTAAGTATCATTAAATTAAAAAAGAAAAAGTTAAATAAAATAATCCACATTAATGTTATGTTAGTGCCATCGTGAAATATCTGTTTTGTTTTTGAAGAGATAGAGTGTGGAGTCTGTAAACCATATCGATAGAAGAAGATGTGCCGTGTGCGAGAGAGGTGGCAGCACAGGTGGTGGTGATTGAAGTGGCAGGGCTGATGGGGATTTAGAAAATAGTTTTTTAATATCTTTTACAAGAAGACGTGAATGGTTATAGCTTTTTGTCTATTCACACACAGAACAACTCAAAATGTCTTCTGGAAAAACAAACACAGCCCCATTATCATTAAAATTTGTCAATACAAAGGCCATATAAGGCACAAAACAGGTTTTACATACCTAAAGTGTCACGATAGCCCAATAAAACACAAAATCATTATTTAGTCACATTGATATTATCACCTTCAGAACTTTGATAACTTAAAATGTAATATTGAAAATAGTCCGGTCTTATTGTAATACATTTAATGATTTAACGCTGATAACTAATGTAACATATCTTAAAAAAATATTGTTTCTTACACCTTGAGTAATATTGAGATGGTTGTTTTTAAAGGGCATCTTATATGTATGATTACAAAATTATAAAACATGCGACTTTTTCATGATCGACTGGATTAGTATAAATAAATCGTAAAACATGAGTAGTGAGTAGCAAGTAGCAATGTACCTTAAAATAGAACGCTTTTAAATTTTTATTTATATTGCCCCAATAAGCTCTTGATTTATGGAGACTTTCTTTTCGACCTTATTGCTGAATTGAGAGTTAGTAATGGCTAATCCACGAGATGACCAGAAAGAAAGACATACGACACGGCCCCAGAAGTTGGTGTTGGTCTCGACACGAAGGATTCGATAAGGCAGTATAGGAAAATTCGATTGATGCTAGTTCCAGAAGGAAGACTCCAGATGTGGAGATTACGACTATAGAGATTTTGGAAGGGGTTCCGGTGGCCAATACTCATAATACCCCTATATTGTGGGCTTAGTTAGCCCGTTTGTTATAATAAGTTCAATTTTCTCCATATCAAATTATCAATTACACTTGTAAACTCTACCACTATTTAATTATTTAATTTGATAAATTAATAAAAATAAATTTAGTTCATATATAGACGTATAGCATGTTTATGTGAACCATTTTAACTTTTGTGTGATTTTTACTTTATTTCACCTATGATTATTTGTATTTGTGTCATTCTAAATTATATCAACGGTCCTTATGATTTGGGATAAACTGTTTGTTTGGTCCCTAACTCATTTTTTAACTCGGACATAGTTCTTATGATATGTTTTTGTTATATTTTTGGTCCTTGCTATACGTAAAATAAATATTTTGTCCTTAATATTTTTTTTAATTTATTTGTTGTTTGTTTACTATTTATTAATTTAGAAAATAAACTTAGATAATTTATAAATGAATGGGTCCCACGTCCCACATCCTCATCACCCACCAGATTTCGACACCACCTCCATCCACCATTCTTTCCACCACCGTATTCCTTTCATCCCAATTATTTTCATCCTATAAATCAAACCTAGATGCAAACAACGAAAATCAGACATGTACAAACCTAATGTAACTCAATTGACATCTACAACCATCTTTATGCTCAAATCCATCTGATGATTTTTTTTAAACATTGGTTGAGTTCAAATGTTGGGGTTGAACTGATTTTCTAGGAGGAGTGATAGTGGGAGAAAAATCAGAGAAGCTCCAAATGAAAACCAAAACCTGAAATGAATATTTTTCCTTTTTTCTCCATCCATCTACATTATCCTTCAATTGTCCATCCTGCATAGTGGTTGCAATCCTCTTGTCAATCATTTACTCCTTGAGCCTTGTAACCTATGTCGGTACCACCTCGAACAAGGCCCGCGAAACATCAGAATCCACCAGAACACATAGGCATGCATCATCCAGACCCAATCCACCATAAACGCTTGCGCCTGAACCATAAGCATAACCACTCTTCCCCTGCCTAGCCATCACTATACTACATGTATAACTGGAAAAAATATGAACTCATAGCGTTACCCATACTATTTCCCAACTACTAACTCCTCAGAATCCTTGTGACTCTCCCTCATTCAAATATAGATCATGTGCATACTACCGTCCATACCTATACGTACCTGCCTCAAGAATTATCCCAAAGTTCTCAAGTTGCAAGTTGCTCCTCTATGACCATTACCAGGTTTCCTATCGTACAGGCATATGCCTATCCACATACACTAAAATACTTCCTAAGAATCTCTAGGATTTCCCCTCTACTCATGTGTTGGAAAGGTCTCTGCTAATGTCGACAAGTCATACTATGAATGCAAGTTATACATAATTGAAGATACGATAAACATTCAAATAGATGTCTCTACCATAAGACCTTTCTCAAACAAGAACATGCAATAATGATGAATCAAGACTTCTAATGCTATCTAGTCCTAATCATGTATTGTTGGAACTAGTGTCCAAGATTATTAACTATTGATAATATTTCTAAATAATAACAAGGTCCTTTTGGGTTGCCCTCATGATACAAACGAAAATTAAAAGAAATAAAATTAAGGAGAAAATTAGTTTATTAATTTATTATGTTTAATAAATTAATCAGAAACTATTTTGGAATTAATTATGAATTGATTAATTCAATGGTTGAATATTAAATAGTTCAAATATTGACTAATTGGAATATTCCAGAACCCTTTAGGGAATAAGGGAAAATTGATTAATTCAAGGGATTGTTTTGTTATTCCGATGTATATATCTTTTGTGTGTTGATATATAGAAAATCCAACAGTGGTATTAGACACTCTAGGTTTTATTTATAAGCATTGTTGTAAAAATCGAAATCGGAATTCTAGAATCTGGGCATTACATGACGCGTAATTTAGTTTTTCAAATGTTCGAATTTGTGGTATTTTTTCAAATTATGTGGATAAACCTCTTGCTGTAAATACTATTTAAATCTAAATATTCAATCTAAGATTAGTTCTAAATATTATTTAAATAAAAAATTGAATCTGAATATTTAATTAAATATTTTTTAATATTGTTTATATTATAATTTAAATATGAATATTTAATTTTAAATACTATTTAATTTTAAATATTATTTAATTAGAGAATTTAAATTTGAAGATTTAAAGGATTAATTAAAATTTTAAAATATTGTTTAATATAGATTTAAACTAGAATACTTTAAAAAGATTTAATTAAAACATTAAATATTATTTTAGTTAGAGAATTAAATTGGAGTATTAAAAAGGATAAATATAAAATCTAAAATGTTTAAATTTACATAAATATTATAATAGGACTATTATATGTATAAGAAATTATTACAAGCATAGGTCATCACATGTTTAGCAGATAAAGCTATCATCAAACCATGATTAGGCTCACCTAATCTAATGCTATAAGAGAGGTTTAAAGAGGCATCTTCGATTCCGAATGAGGGCCTTAAAAGCCATTAGGCTTACCACCCTCACCATCTCTTTACATTTTGAGATTGGAGTTAGTGAAAGGGTTTGATAGAATAAGTGTGTAACACCTATTTTAGGTAAATGGTTTAATTATGCTTTTGGTTCAATTAAAGATGTAAAATCATGGATTTTAAGATGATTACAATGTGAGGAATGAGGCCTCACGACATGACCATCGATGTAGAAACGTGCATTCATCCTTGTGGGCCACGACGTGACAAGTAAGTGGTCACAGCGTGACGACTACATGGGGGTTAACCTTAATTCTGTGTTTTTCACCATATTTAGGGGAAGTGAGGAGTTGGGGTTTGCACACCCTAACCTCCATCACCTCCCTTCACCCTCAAGGAAACCCTAATCCTCCTTTGTTGATTGTAAGTTTCTTTTGGTGATTTCAAGCTTAGAAGAAGAAGATAAGGAGATTTTGTGCATCATATCAACTAGCAAGTCCCTCCCTCCTCATCTTGAGTTACTTTAGGACCCTTGTATTAGCTTAAGCAATGTAGATCTAGAGTTTTGTGCACTTTTCTCAATGTTTGAGGAAGTTTGGGTGTTAGGGACTCATAAAGTTGGCACCTTTATGAGTTCTAGAGGCTCTTTTATGATCCTTTGTCCCTGATCGGGAAGATTAGTGAGTTATGGATGCCATGCATGAGTTTTGGTCTCAATTTCTCTTCATTTTGACCTAGTTTGTGTTCAAGACATACATTGAACATGCATGTCTAAAAATCTATGATTTTTATGGTCCTTTGGTTTGGAGAAATCCTTTTGGAAAGTTTGAAGACTTGGCTAGAAGGATTAAGAGCTTAATGCTTTAAGTTGTCCAGATCGGTTCTCACGACGTGACAAGTTATGCGTCACACCGTAACGACAGTCGTTTTTATGATTGTTTTGTCCTAACTCTGTCATGACGTAACCAATGGGTGGACACGGCATGACAATCAGTTGGGGCTGACTTTGACCATTGACATTTGACCATGGTTGACTTTTTGTCACATTAGTGTTTTAGGGTGTAGATTGAGATGTCACTTCTTTATTGATGTTAGGTGTCTTGTTGTATATGTATACCGTGTGTGTGAGCTGTTGTATTTTAGCTGCTATCCAAAAGGTGAGCTTTCTCACTATATATATATATATATATATATATATATATATATATATATATATATATATGTGTGTGTGTGTGTGTGTGTGTGGTAGTGTATGTGTATTGACCAGTTGGGTCCTAATTGTGATTGTTGTTATATTTGTAATTGAGTTGCTGATAACTCCTGGACAACTGTGAGTCCACGAGACTACTGATAGTTCCTCGGGTTGCTGATAACCCCTGA